GAGGTTGGCCCAGGATCGAACATTGTTTCGTTCTGCTGTGCATGGAGTCGCTATGAGTCGGTTCCGACTCGATGGCACCTGACAACAACAACAACAACAATCTCCTAAAGGACTTCAAGTTATGAAACTCCAGTCAGCTATTTGTTCACACATGAGAGTGTGTTGTGAGAAACCTGAATGTTCGTCAAATTGACTGCAGATAGAAGCTGAGACAAGAAAACAAACTGCTTTTGCTCCCGTGGTTCTATACAGTGTCGAACAACGCGTCTGGTAGGCTGCGGCAGGAGCCTATCTTTTCCAGACTGTGAAGCAGGGGGTGACTGAGAAAGGTGAGTGCTCCTCCTGTTTCAAACATGAGGCGCATGAATAGGTCCAACTCATTTGAGAACCAGGCACTGAGCAGATGCTTTGTGGTTTTCAATGATTAAATAAAGAAAAATGGAATCAAAGAAAGGTGAATGTTGAGAGCTGAAGACCTGCACGTGGGTAAGAAGAGGTGACTCAGGAACAGAGTAACTGTTCTCCCAGGAGGTCCCCAAGAGCAGTGCAGGGAGGACAGTGGACACCAGCAGCCATGGTTGGGACTTCTCAACATGAAAGACGGACTTGCTGTGACTAAAACAGCAATATGGAAACCACAGAAGAGAAGGGGACTCTATTGAGAAAGCACCACCATGTCTCACTTAATGTTAAATTACCAGAAAACAAGCAATTTGACTTCCTTTAAAGTCAATAGTTAAAACAACAAGAAAACGGGGAACTGTTTTCAGAACTACAGGAAGATGGTAAGCACAGTTATCCCTAAGCAGCCCACGAGCTCATGGTTTGTCCCATGTTCAGAGTCTTCAGAACCAGCCTCCTCACAGAACAGAAACAAGGTGCTGACATTGGCATTCTTTATGACACTCACCTGGGGAATCAACCAGGGACACATTGCGACTGGATGTTTGGGACAAACTTTTAAACTGTGAGGTGATCCTTCGAGGATGTGGGGTCACAAACAGCTGCTTTGGTGTCTGCCCAAATTCCAAGATTTGGGTCAGCATAGCAACTTTCTCGTCAGGATCCTCGATGCTTCAGGAAAAAACAATGTAGTGAGCTCACAGGGAAAACTGCCTGGGACTCATGCTTTCCAAACAACACAATGAAAGAGAGATGGACCTCAATTAAAACAGCCATTATAGGACTGTCTAAACCACATTACAAATCTTTAGATTTACTTACATAACTTTACTTACATAACGATGAAAGTATGCTATGCTGTAATTCACTTAAATGATTTTTACACTCTGAAATAACTTGCAGTAATCATTTCGGCAAAGAGGCATTTTAACTCAAGTAGACATTCCTTATAGCCTTATGAGTACCTGTTCAAGTCTACGCCTCCTTCATAGGTCAGGGGATGAAAGACTGAAAAGAGAGATGTAGAACACTGTTAAAGGATTTACTGTTCCATTGTAATATATACTCTGTTCAACAGCTCAACAATTTTCAGATTCTGTAAAAAGGGACTGGCATTTGCTTTGCACAAAATGACTAATATCTAGCTCCAGTAAGTAATGGTTTGAATTCTCTTTTTTGGAACAGAAAATGGCCAGGTTCGATAACCAGTTCTATTGGTGTTCTCTCAGTCAGCACTCTTTTCTTGTTAGAGAAAGCATGACTGAGAGGATTAGTTTTACACTGCAAAGCCCTCTGAGCAGGGATATCTGAGTTCCAGTTCATTTCCTGTTACACTGAAAGACTTAAAGGCAGGTAAGAACCGAGCTTGATGAAGCGTCTTCTGGGAGGCTGAAGTCTGAACAAAAAGAGAGTCTGGGGCTCTTTGTAAACGATGTATCATATTTTCATTGAAATTATTGAATGGGATGAAGAGCACACCTAAAATTAGAAGTGTTTAGAAAAAGACCCATAACCTCTTGTGATCATGGTGAGGTAGGCCCTCTCCGTCCTGTTACTCAGTATATATAAGCCAGCGGCACTGAGCCAGAGGCACAGTTTTCTGGAAGAAGATGCTTCTACTGAAGCGATAATAAGCTGTAGTGCTCTAGCCTGTCTGCCTGTTTGCTTATTTCCACTAAATGGTAAATGCAATGTCAATGAATGCTGTATACCATTATGGGCCACAACAGCAGCACTCCCTTTTTGCTTGTAGCCAAATACTAGATCAATCCATTCATGAAGATGTTCTGACACATAATTGCTTTCCAATGCATCTTTGCTCTTCTGGAGAAAGTCCTCAGGGCCTATTGGACCAAAGAAAGTCACAGTATCAAAAAAGGTCCATTTCAGATTTCTTATTTCTTTTGTCTACCTTTGAATAGGTAAAAGCACATCTTTTAAACAAGGTAATTTATTCCATTATTTAAAATATGTCTTTTTTGGGGGGAAAAAAACTGGCAAGAATTATTTTCACATTTAGATCTCTCAAATATATATCAACATTTTTACATTATAGATTCATAGGATACTTCTGATTTTGGACTGATATCACCAAGTTTAGAAAAAGAACATTGTTATTTTTAAAAAGCCTAAGCAACAGAATGACTAATATTGCAATTACACTATTCTCAGTAAAGTGTAAGCAACAGAATGACTAATATTGCAATTACACTATTTTCAGTAAAGCCAAAGCAACAAAATGACTAATATTGCAATTACACTAGTCTAAGTAAAGAGTCTATACCTCAATATAGACCTCCAATACTTACTTGATGCCCAAAGGGGAAGTTCGACATCATCCACCATTTTCCCTCCTTGTCTTTTTCCCAAATCCAATTTCAGGCTATTGACTAAAAAGCTGACATCATCACCATAGAATTCTGGAATCAACTAAAAGTTGTAGGCAAACAAACCAAAAAAAAAAAAAAAAACCATTTAAAAAATGCAATCAGAAACCAAGTACTTGGTAAATCATTTGTTTTATTAATTACATACCTCTTTAAAATCTGTGGCACCATCCAAACAGTTTTTCCAAGTTTCTGCAATACTAAACATAATAAAACCTGATTTTAAAATCCAGGCTGTGTCAACAACAGCAGGAGCAGCTCCCTATGCTTTTAGGTGGTCTACACTTTACCTATATTACCTCATTTCGTTCTTCACAACCCTAGGAGTAACCCCCCTATTCCATGCCCCTTTAGCAGAATGAAAACCAGGGTCCAGAGAATCTAAGCAACTTTTCTGGGGTTTGTTGTTAAGTGAGGTCGAGTTGGCTCCAACTCTTAATGACCCTATATAGGGTTTCTGAGGAGCAGCTGGTGAGCTTGAACTGCCAACCTTGTGGTTCAAACTGACTTTACAGTCCAGTGCCATCAACCCACAGTGCAAATAGAGCCAGAACAGACATGGGCTGATTCCACAGTACAGCATATACCCGACAGGCACACTCCTCACCACATGCCAACTGGTGATTATTACCACACTGTTTTTTTTTGTTTTTGTTTTTGTTTTTTGGGGGGGGG